TTTATTCCAGCAACGTTGACCCCAAACGGCACCAAACGGCACCAAACGCTACCCCGAACTACCAACCCCATCCGCAGTGCCTACCAATATTGATCAGGGTTGAGCATTCACACTGGTGCGGTTTTCAAATAAAAAGCAAGTATTGCACATTTCTGAGGCACGATAACAACACGTCAATATTCTGCATGTGCCTTTTTACTAGAAAAGCATACATAAGTAATTCTAAGGACCATAGCGCTTATCACGCTGTGCTGACGATGCAAGAATTGCACGAAAAGGCAAGAGATTCCAACGCTTTGCTAAGACGACACGGTGGTGGCACCTACCAGTCTCTTTGTGTTCTACACGTTGTCGCCTCCGCGACGCGCGCACGCCGCGCGCTTAGTTTTCCCAAGATAATAGCCAGATAGAATTCATGTCTCACGTGCGAAGTGCCACGATGCGTTCGTTCACCTCCACTGCATGCATCGAGGCACTCTAACGCAGTGCCTCCAGAATACCAATCACTGATTTTTTTGCGTCAAATAAATATCAAATAAACATTTTGTTCACTCTCTCCAGACGCAAGACTATCGTCTTTCGACGACAATTGCGATGTAACATGCTGATACGGGGCCAATTTTTTTTACTAGCAGACGCTGCTAGCATTGACCTTGCTTCAACGTCAGAAATTCTATTTGTTTTATTAGGAGTGATTTTAATTTAATGAAAACTGTTGATAAGCTGCTGCACTTATAACTTGGGCAAAATATTGCGTCATGAACAATAGAGGAAACAATAAAATTTCCCCCTCTTGTATTATCTCCTGTCTGCCAATCACCCAATCCCTTTCACGATAGACCCTGATGGTTCCCATGCTAGGTACACAGTCTACTTCCTCTGTCGTCTGTGCTCAGCGTGCATTGCACGCTTTATCGATTAAGAACAATGACTAGCAATGTTTAACTTCGAGTGTTGAGATGCTTAGCAGACAGAACGCATGATGAAAAATACTGAGAGTGCTACTTTCTAAACTCTCGTGTCATATTTTGCACTAAACTTTGTGGAAGACCATTCCTGCCATACCGACAAGCATAGGCCGGCAAAAATTTTAGAGCTCATTGAGCCTCAATCAGATCCACTCATGAGACATGCCTCGCCCTTACGGCTCACTTGGACTCACATTATTCTATGTTTCCCTCATTCGCATTCACTCTAACTCAGATTTACTAATTTTCTGACTCAAACTGACGGCTCCACGCAAGTTTTAGTTCATTCCATTGCACTCATGTGTCTGCTATAGCACTATCGGTGGTTGTATCCACGGTGTCAATGCTTCTCAACACCGATGCCGGTGCTGACGCGGCGCTTTGTTCTTGTATCTTTAAATAAGAGCTAGGGTGCATTCAAACTGACTAATGACATTTTCATGGAATGTTATTTATATATTTATTCTTTATTTATTTCAAATTTCTTACAGGCCCTTTACAGGGCATAGAGTAAGGGGGGTAATTGGTGAAGTTTTACAGATCACACAAAATTAATTGACGCGTTACAAAGCGTAACAGCACAATGAAAATATGACGCGACTTGCAATATAAGTTGAAGTTAACAGGCGATAACAAGAAAAAAGAAAAGGCGATTTCATAGTGCACACACGACATTGGGAACCGAATACAGTCATTATAGCATATGAAGGCGACATCAACCAAGGATAGCCAGCTGGCTTTACCTCAACGACGTGCCGTAATTTGTTTATAGGTTGCAGAACATACAATAGAAAAAGCACCAAAAAACGCAGAACCTATGCCCATACACAGAAAACATTTCCAGTGTGCAACAAACATAATCGGGCGCAAAATCCGACACTAAAAAAAATGTGCAGAACAGTGGCAAGTCTATTGTGAGAAGAGAGTAAGCAGCAACTGACGGAAAGAATTATTGTCTGATACAGATGCGATGTTATCTGGAAGACCATTCAACAAACGTATGGCGCGAGGAAGAGCAGATGAGTTGAATGAATCAGTTGCCCCGTATAATCGCTTGAAACTGAAGTGATTATGCAACCTACGTGAAGTAGTGGAAGGAACATCGAGGTGGAGTGGGAGGGGTCTGTTGGTGTACACGTATTTGTGAAAGAGGCAAAGAAGGGAAATGTCGCGACGAGTGCTCAGGGGTTGAAGAGAAAGATTGTTTTTAATTTGCGTTATGTTGCTGTGATAGTCATGATTGCAAGAAATGAAACGGGCCGCCCTATTCTGAATAGCTTCAAGCATGTTAAGTAAGTAGTTGTGATAAGGGCACCAGATAGGAGCGGCAAATTCAAGCTGGGGACGGACAAAGGTTTGATAGGCTAGTTGACGGACGTGAGCGGGACAGCTATGTAAATTACGGCGTAGATATCCTAAGGACTTGGAGGCTTTCGCGCTAATGGTGGTGATGTGGTGAGACCAGGAGAGATTGGGTGTGAAATGGACATCAAGATACTTATAGGATGATGCCTGTGATAGTGCAGAATTATTGATAGTGTAGTGGAAAGTGCAAACGTTTTGTTTGCGCGTAAAGGAGATTATTTTACATTTTTCCTTGTTCAGGGACATTAACCATTTGTTACACCAGTCATTAATGCGGTGAAGGTCGCTTTGTAGAGTTCAGTGGTCGTCGGAGGATGATATAGGACGGTAAATTATGCAATGATCTGCGAAAATACGCATGCAGGAAGATATGTTATTTGGCAGATCATTTATATAGATTAAAAACAGTAGGGGGCCGAGGACGCACCCTTGTGGAACGCCAGAAGTTACGTGGGAAAGAGGGGAAGGGGAATTGTTAATTATAGTAAACTGCTGACAAAGTGAAAGAAAGTTGCGAAGCAAAGATATGGTAAGAGAGTCTAATCAGAGGGCAGATAATTTAGAAATCAGACGGCAATGGGCTACGCGATCGAAGGCTTTAGAAAAATCGAGGAAGATACAATCAGTCTGAAGGTTACTGTTCATATCGGAATGCAGCTCGGTTGTTAGTTCAAGCAGCTGTGTTTCGCAAGAAAAACCCTTTCTGAATCCGTGTTGGTTCAGAAAGAAGAAATTATTTGATTCTAAGTGTCGGAAAACATGGGAAGCGATTATGTGTTCAAGAAGTTTGCAGCATATACATGTAAGAGAAATTGGACGTTAACTTTCGGGTAAATGCTTATTACCGGTTTTAAACACAGGCACTATTTTACCAATTTTCCAGTCAGAAGGGAGTTGACCTGTCGCTAAAGATTGCCTGAAAAGGTGATACAAAATGTTAACAGAAACGGAGGCGGTGTTTTTGAGAATTTTAGAGTTAATGTTGTCGATGCCGGCTGAAGTGGAAAGCTTGAGGTTAATAACTAGAAGAGCAATACCCTCGGCAGTTATTTGTATAGGTTCCATGTATGCAATGTCAAGTTCGGGAACGTAGGGTACGTCAGAATGGTCTTCCAGGGTGAAAACGGATGAAAAAAATGCGTTAAATACTGATGTGCAATGACTATCTGAAAGAGGGACATGGTCTTCATCTAGCAAAGATATTTGTTGGCCATGTTGTTGAGGAGAAACAAGTGACCAGAACTTCTTGGAATTTGATTTCAAGAAGGAAGGTAGATCGACAGAATAATATTTAAGTTAAGCAGATTGTACTGCCGCGCAGTAGCTTTTCATAAAATTCTTGTATGTCTGCCACGCGGAGGGCGTGTCATGGCGTTTAGCTGTGCGGTAAAAACATTTCTTTTTATTTCTGAGTTGCCTGAGAGATTTCGTAAACCATGGGTTTGTTTTATCGTTTTTCACTTTTACGAGGGGGACATACTGATTAGTTAGTGTACATAGTTTATCTCGGTACAGCACCCAGTTATCAATTACTGAACGACGGTCGAAAAGGTGTAGGAATGTGTCGTTGTAAAAAATTTCGAGTTCAGCGTTAAATTGGCTGTAGTTGGCCTTACTATAGTCGCGAATATTTTTGTAGTCGGTGCCGGAGAAAGGTAGTGGAATGTTAAGAGTTACTTGGAGAAGGCTGTGGTCGCTAAAACCAACTATGTTAGGAACGGTACCTACTGTTTCAGGAACTGTCGTAAGAATTAGGTCAAGGATGTTAGAGCTGCGTGTAGGTTGGTTTACTACTTGAGATAGGTTAAAATCTAACGCAAGGCTTATAAATTCTGTGGAATTGCGGCAAGAGGAAGACAATTGGATCCAATCTATTTCGGGAAAGTTAAAGTCGCCAAAAATGTAGATGGCGTCGGTGCGACATAAATTAGTTATGACTCATATCAGAAGTTTTTACAAGTAAAATGGAGGAGAGAGTCGCATTACCTCCGTAACCTACGCACCTGTTAATTTTCTTGCTGTTGTATGAAGGCTGCTGCATCGATTTTATCAAGTGATAATATAAGCCTGAGCATACATAATCGTGATAGTAAAGTTGAATTTGATTCACTAAACAAAGAAAGGTCAGAAAACAGTGTGTAGCTCACTCAGTCGCAATCATGAAATCTATCTCTCCCTAAGGCCTCTCTCTAATTCACAATCATCAAAGTTTTCCTCAGCTGTACCCACTCGTACTCATACTAGCTTAGACGTTTCTTAGTTTTACTTACTCAGGTTTAGACTGATGAAAATATTACCCACCTAAACTCGCTCACTTCATGGCCCGATCTTTGTTTCAGTGGGTATACTCTTGTGAGAGTGTGCGGACCTATGCCGACAAGGTGATTCGGTGTTTGCTGTAAATATATGTAAAAGTGGATATATTTCTACCAAGTCAACCTGTGCCTCTTACATCGTTTCAGGGAATAAGATCTGTTAAATAATTTACCCATTTTTCATAAAACTCAAGGGCGCAGTAAGCTTTGACGGTGCCGTCTCAGTAGATCCTGCAGTCAGTGAAGAGGGCTAGGCACGAGGGATTACTGACGTTTTGTGATCTAAGTGTTTATCATGTTCAAAGCCCAATGAAAAATGTTTTTTCTAACAATTATCTTTTGTTTCTATCAGGAACTTTGGAACTGCGAAAAACTCGTGAAAGAGGGTTACAAGAAGTACTACGACATGAAGCTTCCAGTTACAGAAGGAGATGATTCATGCAAGATATTCCATGAGATCTGTCAAAACCTCATTCTGCTATCCAGGGCAAGTTCACCATATTTTGCCAACCACGTCTAAAGACTTGCAGAATTCGTCGCAGTATATTATACTTCGCACATATGCTTCATTAGGGTCGTTCCAGTTCGCAAAATAATACAACTTTCTTGCGCATAGTTTATACTTTCTATAGCATGTGAGCAAAGCATTATTATTGTTGTTGTTAAGATCTCAAGTGTGTGTGGGTAGTAGCTTATAAAACATTGTGCTTGACTATAAATTTTATTCATATTAGAAATAGTTGGTAACCAAGAACCACGCGCAACTTCAAAAGTGAAATGGCGGAAAATTGGTCGCAGTGACTTGTCTGTTTTGCGATTTCATTGTTCTAATATTGAAAGTGAATATCGGATGTCTACAGCTGCAATTTACGCATCATACGAACGGCCTAAAGACTCATACATTTTCCGTGCGTTGAGTGTCCTAAAGGCACTCCCGACATTTGTAACATTTGAACGTATCATTGGTCACGATAAAAGGAATTTTCGTTATGCACCTTATGGAAAGAATCGGAGTTCTGCCTGAACGAAATCGTGCTATGAATGGGATGCTGAAGTGCATTTTATCCCCGTCGTTTGCAGTCTGTGAAAATTCACGCGGCAACCAATATGACTTCAGTCTTGGCCAACAGTTTTGCGTTCACAATGCTTGCCAAGTTTCGTGGTGGTAAGTACTCATTCATATGTTTCTACCTTTCTGCAGATGCATTCAATGCAAACGTTATCAACATAAACTTACGCTGCCTATCAGAAGTTGAGAGTTATGTGTACGTGAAAAGCCAATATAATAAACGTAGCGAACTTGAGAATGCGTTTTCAAGCAGCTTAATATCGCTGGCTCTTTTTTCTTTCAAACTACATGGTACAAGTGAAAGGGCCAATTACACCACCTCTAAAATATATTGATTATTATTTTTGTTGCAAAATAGCATCAATAGAAATGAGTAGACGTGCTGTTCAAGAAGAACACAGAAAAACCTGCTTATTTAAGTTATTTTGATCAAAGTTTCTGCAATTGTTTTGTTTTACCGTTTGTTCATGTGGGGCGACATTCTGCGTAGAACACTCGCGCATTGACACACCCTCTGCGGCCTTGGTTGGTCGCTTGTATCGCACTGAACTCACCATTTCACTAATTATGAATGCATAAGCCTGTGAACAAGAATAATGTTCTCTATGCTGCATCGCTATTTTTGTGTACGTTGAAGACTACATGGTCAGAATCACCGGGACTTTTCAATACGGTGCCTCTCATGATCAAATTGGGGTTTTGGGACGTTCAACCTTGGAAGTTATTGTCGTGCAGAACAGTTCACAGAGCCCGCGCAGGGTGCTGCCCACTGATCTCCACTAGATATGCTGGAAGGCGCTTTGCTGCTATTACAGCCAGCCGCGCGGATGGTCACTGAAAGTTCAAGGGTTCGCCCTGGAAGTCGATCGTATGTTGCACTTCTCAGCCGTTCTTTAGCTTTTATTTTCACTTCTACGCATCTTATAGCAATATTGATGGTGTATTTTCTTCCAGACAACAAATTATATGCAACAGAAACGTGTGAAGGAAACATGTAGTAGGATTTAGCACATAGACGGAAGAAAAGCTCTCTTATGTATTGGTTTAACGGACAAGACGCAGCTCCAGAGAATTCACGTTGGCAAGAGGACACTGTGACAGGTCTAGCAATAAATGAACAGTCGTAAATTCACTTGGCTGACAACGATCTTGCGCGTACGAAAAAACAATAGCAAGTTTGATATCAACCCTGAAAGATGCTGACTAGCACATAAATTTCGGATATGGCTGCCGCATGTCGAGAATAAAAGTATGCAGCAATTGCACTGCTCGCTCCTAATATAACTTAGAAAAAGAATGCACTATAAGTCTTCGCAATACTAAGAGCAAAAATATACAGATATATGTAGGGCATAACGTCCCAAAACCGCCATATAATTATGAGAGACGCCCTAGTAAAGGGCTCCGAAAATTTAGACCACCTGGGATTCTTTAATGTGCACCCAAATCTGAGCACATGGGCCTACAACGTTTCCGCCTCCAGGTAAGCAAAATGGTCAAATGTATTCGTAGTTAAAGCGTAATGGAAGGGTTACCTAGGGTAACTTTTCTTCGATGATTAATAATTCGTGATGCTATGAGTCCAAATCACGATCGAACGCAATAAGCTCAATGTAGTACAGTGTTGCTGATAAGGTCAATCACCTTGTGGTATTTCATGTGCACTGACATTGAAAAGCACACGGGCCACGGGCGTTTTGCCTCCATCAAATGTGAACGCTTTAGTCGTGATCATACCCACTTATTTTGATGCCAACAGCGGAGCACCATAATTTCTTCTTTAGGGGTGAAGTTTACGGTTTAATGAACACATGCATTGCTAATTTAGGGTCAAAATAACCTGGCATGCACACTGGTTCCTATTGAAATCCAACTTTTTCTTTTTATATTCACCACGCAGTTGGAACTTTTATCGATAATTTTAGCAAAGATTTTGTGCATTACAAAAGTGACCGTATAAGAGGAAATGCGTTCTGATAAGGCCTGTGCCTATACAAAAAAGCCTATATTATTTTACGGTTTCATTCCTGTTACTAACCACCGCTTATAAATATGAGATTCATATAAGGATATGCAAGTTATATTGTCTATGATCTTTCCAGTGAAATGAAAAAATAGGAATTTACAAAGGCAAAATTGAGGATTTTATTGCACTTGAAAGTTTGAAAGGCTGTGACACTAAGACACTGCACGCACTACTGCCATACCTCAAATTTTACGAAAGATCATTTTTTCGTGCGCCATATAAGCATATGGCTGCTCACGACAACACAAAATACCATGATGCTGATTCATTTAGGCGTCTCAAGGCCTTACGTGGCACCAAGCGATTCTCTTTGCTTCACCTTAACACACGAAGTTTAAAAAATAAACATGATTCTGTTAACCTTTTTTTAGACAACTTAGATCATGAGTTTGACGTATTGGCATTCACCGAAACTTGGTTTTCCAATGACTGCCCCGCTGTAAACTTTTCGGGATACAACTGCATATCAGTATCACGACCTAAAAAAAGAGGAGGAGGCGTTGCTGTGTACATTAAAAACCACTTTAATTATGAAGTTATTCCAGAATACTCAATCATTGATGTTCACTATGAATGTCTGCTTGTGAAGTGCTTTAACACAATGCTAGCCGTTCTATATAGGCCTCCAAACGGTTCTGTAACAAAATTTATTGAATTTCTAGAGCGTGTTTTAGAGCACTGTTCATACGTTGGTCTACCTATAATAATTAGTGGAGACCTGAATATAAACTTTCTCTCTGTGGAGTCACCTGCACAGATGCTACTTGATGTTTTCTTTGTTTGGCTGTCAAATGTCATTGATGTACCTACAAGAATAGCGAGCAAATCTGAAACTTTGCTAGACGTTTGTTTTACAAATTATGAAATTGGTCAATCTGATGCCGGAGTGTTAATATCAGACATAAGTGATCATTTGCCCTTCTTCATCTTTTTTACGCCTCACATGGCTCAACACAACCAACGCAAACAGCCACCTATTCTTTTAAGAAAAATATCTGCAGAAAGGGTTAATTATTTCAAACATTTGGTTGAAGGAACTAGCTGGGAGCCTGTCTTGCAGATAACTGATCCTACCGTCTCCTATGACTTATTTATTAGAACATTAAAAGAACTCTATTACACGTATTTCCCTTAGAACAGCTTAAAAAACATAAAAAATCGAGAAACCATGGATTGATGCCTCTTTACTGAAGAGAATAAAGACCCGTGATAAACTATTTGCATTGTTTATAAAACAAAGAACCTTGATCAGTTAGCTGAATACAAAAAATGAGAAATAAATTAGCAGCTGATATTAAACAAGCACGTAACTTGTATTACGAGGCTAAGTTTACTAGCATTGCTAACGATTCCAGGAAAGTGTGGAATTGCGTTAATGAACTACGAAATAAAAACGAAAGAGACGTAATATCGGAAATATTGATTGAGGGCGTATCATATACGGGTAGTTCGCTGGCAAACAAGTTTAATGAGCATTTTTTAAAGGCAGGTGTTTGCACGTCTTCACCGACAAATGATATCAGCTGCACTTCTTACATGAACAGCTCAGATTCAACAATTTATATGTATCCTACTACACCGGAAGAAATATGCGGCTTGTTAAAAAAGTTAAAAGCAACAGTGCCTGTGGTGTAGATGAATTGAAGGCAGTTCCTCTTAAAGTAGTCGCTCATGCTATCTGTTTACCTCTATCGCACATATGCAATCTTATTCTAAGCTCTGGAACGTTTCCCAACGAACTGAAGATTGCAAAGGTATCAGTTATTTTTAAAGGAGGAGATAAAAACGATCTCGGTAACTATAGGCCAATCTCTGTTTTACCTATGTTTTCCAAGGTTATTGAAGAAGCTATAAACTTCAGGCTTACTAATTTTTTTCAGCAAAAAAACATTATCGTAAAAAATCAATATGGTTTCCAAAAGAAAAAATCCACAGAAATGGCATTACTCGATATTAAAGATAAAATAGTTGACAACATAGAAAAAAAACTATTCACGGTAGGGCTTTTCCTTGACTTTAAAAAAGCATTTGATTCCGTTAAGCATGATGTTTTACTGCTCAAACTATCCAGATACGGTGTCAGAGGTATAGCTCTAGACATTGTAAAAAGTTACCTAGAAAACCGTGTGCAATACACCAATATTGGTAATGCGAAATCTGAATTCGGTAAAATTACATGCGGCGTGCCACAAGGGTCAATCCTTGGCCCACTCTTGTTTATTATGTACATAAATGATATAGTTAACATACCTCTTACACCTGACATTATTTTGTACGCCGATGACACGAATGTATTCTTCTCTGGGCCAGATATTGACGACCTTATGTTGAAAGCGAATATTTGGCTACAAAACTTATCTACATGGCTTAGGGCCAACAGGTTAAATCTAAATGCTAAAAAAACAAATTTGTTGTTTTTAGACCTCGTAACAAAACATACATTAGTAAGAATATTATTAGCTTTCAGGGACAGCCTATTGAACGCGTTGCGTCTCTTAAATTTCTCGGTGTCTTTTTTCACGAATATTTAGATTGGTCTGTGCATATAAATTACTTGCGAAAAAACATCTCTCGAGCAGTTGGCATACTATGCACGTTGCGCAGCCTATTACCAGTATGGTTAAAAAGACAGATTTATTACGCAACCATACATTCGCACCTTCACTATTGTCTTCTGATTTGGGGAACGACGACAAAAACTAACCTCAAAAATTTATATCTATTACAAAAACGAGCTGTGCGATTAATTGAACTTCTACCTTTTCGTTCGCACACAGCCCCTTTTTTCGAAAAACATAGACTGCTAGTAATTAATAATATCCGATATAAAAAATTAGCAATGATTATATATCGTGAAGTTAAATCTAATCGAATTGAATTTTTCAGGAAGTATCACGAGCGTAACCACAGTCATAATTTACGACATATTAGTTTCAAGAAAGACACGCTTCGTACAAATTACGGTACACAAAAACTAACTTACCAAATTCCCCACTTTCTTAATGAACACCCCACTGTGATGGCATTAATTGAACAAAGTTCCTCCATTTATGTTTTCAAAAAGAAGATA